AATAAAAAAACCAATTAAATACAATAACGAATGGATCGATATTAAAATTAATTATTTTAATTTCCGATACTAAAATAAAACTTTTTAAATAACGTTAAACGCGTTGGAAATACGGAACGAAAATATGGTTTTCGAAATTCCGTAATTACAAAAGCATAATTTAAAAATTAATTAAAAAAAAATAACTTTTAATAAAAGCTTTTACTAACAATTAAAAAAGGTTAACAATTACGGGCCGCAAACAATATAAAAACAAAGTTAAAAAAGGTATTTTAATAAAAATAAAGCAAAATAGCAACTTTTAAACCTTATTACAAAAAACCATAACAATGCTTTACAATAAATTTAAATAAAAATTACAACAATTAGCTAATGTATTTCCGAAATACCATACGTACTGGAAATTATTCCAAAAAAACCTAAAAACGGTGCTTCCAAAATACGGGCCGTTTAATTACGAAATTAAACTTAAGCTAAATGCGCAATTTAAATACCAAAAGCTGTACCAGCTTAACCCCAAACAATAAAAAGGGTTAAAAAAATAGCTACAAAAGGATTTAAAAAAAAGGGTAATTAAACCTTTAACATTTTTAATAAAATACGAAATTTTATTTGTGCTTAAAAAAAACGGAAAGGAATAAATGTGCATTAATTACCAATTATTAAACGAGGTTACGATAAAAAATCGGTATTTTTTGCTTTTTATCGATAAATTACGCAACAAGCTTGGTAAAGCTAAGTATTTTACGGCTTTAAACTTCCGAAAAGCATATAAATTGCGTTGGATTAAAAAAAGATAAAAATGGATAACCGCTTTTCGAATACGGTTTGGCGTATACAAATTGTTAATTATAACCTTCGAATTTACTAACGCGCTAATTACTTTCCAGCAAATAATTAACCACGTACTTCGAAAGCATTTTAACATTTTCGCTTTAGCGTATTTAAACAATATTTTAATATATTTAAAAACGTTAAAAAAGTACAAGCAATATATGCACCAAATATTGCAAAAGTTACAAAACGCAAAGCTTTTAATTAACCCGGACAAATGCGTATAGCATGCCCAAAAAGTAATTTTTTTCGGGTTTGTTATTACGCTAAAAAAATTTAAAATAAACCTAACCAAAGTACAAAAAATGGCTAATTGGCTAGCGCGTACCAACGTACAAAAAATACGAGCGTTTTTAAAATTCCTTAACTTTTATTAACGGTTTATGCAAAGGTTTAACGGCAGCGCTACGCTATTTACAAATTTTACCAAAAACAATACCCAATTCCATTAAAAAATACAAAAACAAACGGCTTTCGAGCAATTTAAAAGCGTTATTTTACGGAAACCAATATTGGTTATTCCGGACCCAAACAAACCGTTCGAAATCGAAATTAACGCGTTAAATTACGCAATCGAAAAACAATTAAATTAACAAAATAAAAAAGGAAGGCTGCACCTTTGCGCTTTTTTTTTACAAAAATTTAAAAAACTTAAATTAAATTACCAAATCCATAATAAAAAGCTTTTTAACGCTATCAATTTTTCGGCGGACAACGCGCATTATCTTTTTAAACCACAAATCTTTTTAAATACGCAAACGTTAAACCCGGTCGCTTTTAATACGCATTAACTCTTTAACTTAACGGCAAAATCGCTTTGCAATAGCAAATTCGGCGTTTAATTTAAAATGCTGCTTAGCAATTTTGCGCAATTGGTTAAAAAAAACCTTTAAAACGTTGTACTAAGCACGTTCCAAACGAACGCATTCGGTATAACAAAAGGAATTTTTCGAAAATATTTAATAAAAAAAAAATTAATAGCTTTATAAATAAAGTAAAAAAGCATCGGAATTAAAAAGTTAAAAACGGCAAATAACAAAGCGTACCGTTAAATGGTTTTTCGAACCGAACGTTTTTAAATTTGTTCGAACATTTTGTTAAAAAAAAGGAACGGTTAAATAATAAAAAAAAAAGTACTTACAATTAACAAAAAGGCGAAAAGGATAATAATACGTAGCTAAAAAGGTTTGGCCATTAAAAGAAAAACTTAATGTTACAATTAATAATTACTTTTACCCAAAAGGAAAGGGTAGCACGGAACGAAAACCTTTATAAAAGGTAAAGGGTTACGTAACCATTTAAAATTAGTAAATTAAAAAATAAAAAAGTAAACCATTAATCCAAAAAAAGCTTAAAAAAGCTTACGAAAACGGCTTGGTAAGCCAATTAATCCACGGCCCCCAAAGGAATAAGCATTAAAATATATAAAAAAAAGGTTTTTTACTGTCCTAAGTAATTTTTAACAAATGCATTGGCATTAATCAATTTAAATTAGCTTCCAAGTACCTTTTGGAACAAGCATTTAAACCGCACCCAAATTACCTTGTAAATCCCTTTAATTGTTAAATCACGTGCTACTGCTCAATACTCCTCCGGTGCCTTACCTTAAGAGCAGAGGCTTAACTGTAACACAACAATCCATAAGGAGGGGTAGCGAACCCCGCCTTCCTAGCAGGAAGAAAACAGGTTGGGAAAGTTACGTAACATCGGGGTTAAGGATTAATTAGTAGTGATTAGTCGGGATTAAGCTAATTAAAAGGCAGCACGGGTGCTTAGTAACAATCGGTGCTATTAACCCTAATTAACTGGATCGAAAAAGCCTTTTACAATGTCCAGGACCAAACGGTTTAGGTATAAAGGGAAAGGATTTCCTATTGCCCTAAATAGCTCTTGGTAAATGCACTGGCATTAGTTAATTTAAGTTAGCTTCCAAGTAACCCTTGGAGCAAGCATTTAAACCGCACCCAAGTGTTAGGAGCACGGGCGAAACCGCCCGGCAAAAAGCGGGGAGCGTCAAATGCACGGGCGAAACCGCCCGGCAAAAAAGGAGGAAAGGGGCGCTGGCAGCCAGCCGGGCACGAACCCCCCGGGAACATGCCGGCAAGTTACCGGTATTGCGGCCAAAGCATAATAGCGAAGCTAAAAAATAAGGTAAAGTTTAAATTGTACAAAAGCGTTTAAAACGCGAAAAATTTAAAAAACCGACCCCGGGTACCCAAAAAGGTACGAAAAAAAAGGAAATTAAAAAAAGAACAATTTTTATTGGCGATAGCATTTTTGGTAAAAAATTTACGGAAGTTTAACAAAAAAAACATTGTATCCGGCCCGTAACCCGGTAACTATCCGCTTTTGTACCGATTAACTTTTAATATATTGTTTTTTTTTATACCTTTTTATTTGGGGAATAAGCCCAGGTAATTACCGGAAAGGATTAAGCAAGTTTAAAAAGGGCATTTGCGATTTCGTACCGCTTATAATAACGCCCGACGCTACGTCGAATACGTCGGAAAAGGCCGTTGGGTTACCGGAACAAAATATTAAAAAAGCTTTACAAATTTCCAACGATTTCGAAAACTTTTCCGTAAAGGAATTGCAAAAAATAAACAACGCGCTAAAAGCCCAAAGCAAACGCGCCCGTTTAATTTAAAAAATCCAAAACAAAAAGTTAAAGCATGCGCATAAAGGTTTAAATAAAAATAAAAAAATATTTTTAAATAACGAAAAGGTTTTACGTAAAATAAAATTACTTTTAAGCTTTTTATGCTTAAAAAGTCGGCAATTTGGCAAAATATTGCCCATTACATTAGCAATTACGAATTTATTTTCGAAAACAAAAAGGAACGTTACGGTAAAAACCGTGTAAAAGTTTAAATAGCCTTTAATACTTTCGACCATTATCGGCGGGTACAATAAACAAAATACAAATAAATATATTATTTAAATACCGGGGTATTGCTTATTTGGGCCGATTTTTTGCGGTAATTTTAAATAAAATCGAAAAACCCCAATTTGCGGATGTAGCTAGCAATTAAAAAGTTTGCGGGAAATACCGCTATTAAGTAAAAAAATTACAAATCGTTTAAAACGTTCCGGATTCGTTGGGATTTGGTAAAGGATAATTTTTTCGAATTAGCACCCGAATGGATAAAAACAATATTGCTTTTTAACCGGCTTTGCCCCGAAATCCAAAAACGGGTAATATTTAAAAACTTTTTTTATACCATGGAAAAATTGCAAGCCAAAGCTTTTAAAGCAAAAATAATATTGGAACCGCACAAAAGAACCCCGGGGGATACAAATGTTCCAGCTTTTAAAAAGCCGGTTATTTGCTTTAAGTACGGGCAGTTAGGCCATATCGTTGCAGCATGCAAAATACGAACGGATAACCCGGAAACCCCGTTAATTTTAGCAATTATACAAAAAGCAAAAGGGAAAAGGCCCGAAGTACGGTGTTACGGGTATAAAAAGCTGGGCCATATCCGGCCGGCGTATTTTAAAAAAAGCAAAATATCGCTATCCAATTCGATACCGTTATTTGGCCGTTTAAGCACCGGGGCTTAAAAATGCGCCCCGGCGGTTAAAACGCGTTAAAAAACCAAAGTATATTTACGGATTAACGGTCGCCGGGTAAAGTTAAAAGCGTTGGTTAACAATAAAAGCGACGTTAACTTATTGTATAGCCGTTTTTTGGTAAAAGCAAAAAAAATACCGGTGCTAAACGGGGGCTATTTGGCGTAGCTCGATACCAAAAAACGCATGCTTACGTTAAGGGTAAAAAAATACAAAATTTGGGTAACGGATAGCTAAGGAATAACCCAAAAGTTAATAATATTTTACGTGGTAATGCCCCGGGCTAGGTATAATATTACGTTAAGCATGCTTTAACTTTAGCAAAAGGATATTAAAATTCAATTTGGGGATATAAAATAAAAGTTCCCGGTAATTATTAAAAAGGTTAAAATAATTTCGTTGGAAATAGCTAAAAAATTAATTTAATTGGGACAAGCGATAACCGTGCTAACGGTTGCACGCCCGGAAACCCCGAAAAACCCCGGGAAAAAGTTAAAAGCTTTCCCGGAATGGGTTAAAAAAATAATTGCAAAATATGCGCAACTTTATAAATTAAACCTTTTGTTAAAATATATAAGCTAAAATTACGCGATCGAATTGGAAAAAAAAACGATGCCGCTTTACGAAAGCATTTATCTTTTATCCGAAAAGGAATTAAAAATTTTCCGGGGGTATTTCGATAAAGCTATAGCAAAGGGTTAAATCCGGCATTTAACTAGCCCCGCCGGCGCCGGGATTTTGTTCGTTTTAAAAAAGGACGGGAAATTCCGCCTTTGTATTAATTATTAAGGTTTTAATAAGGTTACCAAAAAAAACCGGTTAGCATTTTCGCTAATTTACAAAATATTTAACCGGGTATTTAAAAGCTAGTATTTTACCAAGCTGGATTTAAAAAACGCTTATTACAAAATACGGATCCAATAAAAAAACGAATGGAAAATTGCTTTTCGTTGCAAGTATAAACATTACGAATATTTAGTAATGCCTTTCGGTTTGGCCAACGCTTTAGCAACGTTCCAAAGCTTTATTAATATAGCGTTTGGGAAATTAATTAATAGCAATTGCATCGTATATTTAAACGATATTTTTATTTTTTCGAAAATATAAAAAAAGTACCGCGAAATAGTAAAAACGGTATTAAAACGATTTAAACGGTTTAAATTTTACGTTAGCCCGGTTAAATGCAAATTCGAAACGGATAGTATCGATTTTTTAAAATTTAGGATAACCAAATTCGGGGTCGAAATTTTGCTGGATAAAGTTATTGCAATTTTAAAGTAAAGGATACCGGAAAGCGTTAAAAATATCCAAATATTTTTGGGCTTTACGGGGTATTATCGGAAATTCGTAAAAGGTTACGCGAAAATTACTATGCTTTTAACGGA